ATTTGCTAAACGTGTTTAATTACGATGAAATAAAAGCAATCAAGCCGGAAGCGTCCTCGGCTGTATGGGAGGCGCTGAAGCCAGCCAGCCAGCCAGCCATCGCGGGAGTCTACAGAGCAGTGACGGAGCGCTGAGAGCTGGCTTGCTGCTTGTATTGGATTTGTGTCTGTGCGGCTGCCAATAGTTATCAGTCATATTGGCGAAACACAGGCCGGGCTTCTCGACAGACAGCGTGCCAGAGGAGTGAATGTTACCGCTTAATCCTCGGATGTGTCTGTTCGGTGCAAGCCCCACTGGCTTTGGATGTTCTCCCAAGAAAGGGTGTATCAGAATGCAGCCTCCGTGCTTGCATCCCATTATTCTTAAGGAAGCAAACAGCCCTTGGTTGGACATGTTACTGGCTTTCGATGTTCACTCAAGCTCCAGAATGCCACTACAGCTGTTCAGGCCCATCCACCCCGTGATTCCATGTGTATCTACCCGGATCCTTGGCTGTCCCGGAGAATGGGTTATGTTGGCCCCCAGAATTATATTTCTCAGGAGAAACGGCTTGTTTTGATCCAGCAGGGTGTCACTAGCTTCTAGAACAAAAGGTGAGTTTATTTTGTGGGCCAAGAGCATGCAAAATATATTTCCTGCATCATATTCAGCTTAGAGAAGGTGCCCACAGGAGCGGCATCCCGCTGAAGTTCTGGGCAGAGCAGGGCTGCTGGTGAACCGTGCAAAGCGTTGCTTCCTTCATCGGCTTCCACAGCGGAGCCTTCCGAGCGCATTTCCTCCTTTTCTTTGCTCAGACCCGAGCCAGCAGCAAATGACTCGGAGTTGTTTCATGCGAAGGACTTTTTCTTGCCTCTCTCCTTACTCATGGACTTAATGCATGGTCTTAGCCACAGACCATCGGAAAAGGGCCTGGCAGCCGCCCGAGGGCGGCCTCTGTGGTGATCTGGCGGGCATGAATGACTGGTTTGAGGCTTGGGATGAACGGGTTTCCCCCATGCGGCTGCTTGGGTTCCGCAGGGCAGCTTTGCCAGCTGGATATGACGACGGTGCAAAGGGACGGAGGACGTCTGAGCAAACGGCGATTATTCTCCCGTTGGACCACTGCAAACCGTCTTGCCCCTGTGGGATACTTTTTGGAATTACAGTATGTTATAGGTACGTAACTAAGTGCTCAGCAGGAAGCCTGTGTGGATATGCAATCAGCGGAAGACCACCAGCGGGCTTTGTGGGCTCTGGAGTACTGAGGCCACCACCAAGAAGGCCCTGCCTGTTGTCCTGACCCAGTGACCTTCCACTGCAGGGGGAACCCAGGAGAGGACTGACCTGCCTGATCGGAATGAATGGGCAGCTGGCGCTGGACTGGAGCCATGGGCTTTTGCATGGTTAATAGCAACATTTACGGAGTACATTCTCTGTTGCCTTTGTGTCAAGGCAAGCCAGCTAATTGTCAGATTTTTTAAACACCAAAGGAAATACGTTACCAAGAAGCATGGCATCATCAGAAGACAGATCCTTCTGACCGACTGAAGGTCGCCTCAGGAGCTGATGGCAGAAGCTTCTTGGCCTGGGCTTCTCCATCACCGCTACCAAAAATAAGGTGTACGATGTTGATTGAACTGCGTGTCTGTTGGAAAAGGGGACCCACACTGCAGCCGGTGGCAGCATTTAGAAAGGACGGTGTTCGAGAGAAGCTGCCAGGATCTCTGCCTCCCAGATTCGGAAAGACTGAGCTTGGCTTGCTGGTGTGGGAGGCTGCAGGAGGGATCCAGGCATGTGGTGTCACAGTTCAAACAGAAAAGTCTGGCGAAGTTCTTTCTCCTCCTGACTCATTCTGGGCCTGCTTCTTTAACATCCAGCACAGGAAAAAGGATTGTGACTCATTCAAGGTTCGCAGCAGCTTTGTTCCAGCAGCGAGGGGCGTGACTCAGACGCCATTTTGGGAAGGGAGCTGCACACCGGATAATGATAGGATGTATTTTGGGGTTTGATGTGTGCAGAAGTGCCTGCCCGTGGGCACATTTGGTGCAGGTTTTCCCCCCAGATACTGTGAAGGCGTCTGAAGTGGTATGGAACGGTGGTTCGCATGCGAGCTTGCTAGATGGAGACTTTCAGGGTTAAGTCCTTGAGTAGATTTGGGGCTATGAAAAAATCAGAGTCCAGGCAGACCAGTCGCAGGAGTAAGCGATGGGGTGCCCCCCAGATGCGGTTGCTTTTCAGCTCTCATCGGCCCCAGCCAGCATGGGCAGGGGTCAGGAATTTTGGAAGGCCCCACCGTCAGCCCGGTCTGGACCCGCTGGCCTACCGTTGGGGCATTTTCCAGGGGCAACAATTCCACGCACAACACACTGGGGGAGGGGTCAGCTGAGATGCACTGCATTCATTTCATTTCATTTCCCCACGGCCTGGACCGATCTTTGATCGGTGGGAAGCCAAGGATGCAATAGGCTGCCAGAGAGATGGTTTTATAGTGTCCAGTTTTAAAGTCTGCACTTCGGCATCTTTCTTGGCCACCCTGAAGTAAGGCAAGCACTGGTAACCCCCGAGGAATGTCCTTTTTTGTCAGGTCTCTCAGATCCAGACCCCCCGAAGAATTTTCACCACTGAATTTCTGCTAGGAAGCCATTTGTCTTGGATCAGATTGATTGAGAACGGTCAGGAAAAAAGGGAGAAAATCCTCCGGCAGATTACTGATCATTCTCAACAGTTATGCAAATTCATCCTTGGCCCCAGTTCCTTACCTTCCTTTCCGCTCCCCAGCCCAATTTCCTCTTCTGTCAGGTCTTTCAGATCCAAAGCCATTATTTAAGCCAGACGTTTCCCTGATTGCTTGGCAGGAAAGCGATGTGTAAAGGTAATCTATCAATGCTGGGTGCTGTTGAGTACGTACCCCAGGTAATTAAGAACTCCCTCAAGGGATGCATGGAGTGCCAAGGGCGGGTTTTCCCATTATAGTGTGACATACATGCACTCAGCAAAAGAAAACGAGAAGCGAGCACTCCGTAGAGCCAGAGTTGCAAACGTCACAACCGTGGTGCCCACACATGTCTGCCAGACGTGGCAGAACACTCCGTGCCCGTATTGGCCTTATCAGCCACCTGCGGACACACCGTGGGCAACTCACAACCCGTTAGATGTCAAGGTCCTCATCGAAAACGATGGACGAACATCCTCGGCAAAAGAGCTTCTGTGTTTTGCTTTTCTGCCCCCTCCCCACAATCCGTTCTCCTTTTGTGTCATGTCTCTTAGATCGTAAGCCCGGGAGCTGGGGTTGACTCACTATTAATCTTGCTCAAACACCTCGGGAGCTTATTGTGCCCACAAAAGAGGGCAGAATGGCTCCAGTTAAATATCAGGAAAGATCTAGTGCTCTTCTTGTGATTCCGCCCAGATCTCCTGGGCTGCCTTGGTTCACTGCTCCTCGCATGCCGCATCCCTCGCTGGGAAAGGCTGAGCCCGACTGGCATCCCATCGAGGCCAGGGAAGGACTGAGGCAGCCACGCAGCAGCTGGCAGTCATGGAGCCGAGCCTGTGGCAGCCAATGGGCGAGAGGGGGAGCCACACGCTGGCCAATGGGAGGCTGAGCAGGGAGGAATCCTGGTGAGGTCATGCCAGACAAAGGCCCTGCTCTCTCGCAGGCAGGAGAAGGAACTTAGGGTTCCGGTTTCTTTGTCCGCTGGCCCGATTTCCGCAGGCCTGGTTATTTTTGACAGCTGCTCCTGGGAGAACCCAATTCTGTTTCCTTGACCAAGCAGCTGCCTTTCCCCCTCTTCCCCCTCCCACCCCATGCCCAGGACAAAGCAAAGACTCAAGCACATGCTCCTTCTCTATCATGTCCTCTGAAACATGACTGCAGCATCTTTAAAGGGGGTTGAAAACGATGCAATTGTAAACGCAGGGTTCTTTTGTTCAAAGCTGGATGGAGACCCGATGAGAGAGAGTTGGGTTGCAGGAAAGGCCAGGCTGAGCCATGGGCCCCCTTGAACCCGACCCCAACCCCTGCGATCAACGGGGTATCCGCAGGCAGAGTGACCCTCTTCTCCCCTCTCCCCCTTTGCTAGGCCCATGGGAAGGAAGACGTGGGTCACAAGCCGCTTCCCACATAGAAATCGCAACCCTCATAGAATCTGGTCGCATTTCTCACTCGGCCAAAATCGGCAGTGCTCCGCTCGGAGCAAAGACGGGCCCTGCGGGTGCTTGCGGAAAGAACTGCTTGTGCAACGGCCCCTTATCTCACTTCCAGATGGAATTCAGTTTGCACCCTTTTCTGTCGCTATGCCTCCAGACACGCGGGGCTACTAAGCCCATCATGCCTGGCTGCGGCTGCTGGGAGGTGCAGTTCTACACATCTGGAGGGCGCCCACTTGGTGAAGGCTGATTCGATTTCCAGCCGTGCCACTTAGGCAGGTTTCCAAGCGGGGAACAGGCGCGTTATGAACGCGCGCGCGCACGTGCCAGGAGGCAGCGTTGCCCCACCGGGTGAGCCCTCCAGAAGTGCGGGGCTGTGGCTGGGGGAGGCTGGTGTGGGGAGCAGCCCCCCAGCCCTCTGCCCCCTTACTTCTTTGCTTGGCAAGCCCCTCGACAGCTGTACTTAAAGCAGACGGCCGCTCCCGCCGCTTCTTCGGCGCCCGCCTCCGCCTCTCCACCAGAACTTTGAGGCTGGCGACGGGCCCGAGGCACCCCCGGCTGCTTGGGGGGTGCTGGGAGTTGTAGTCCCTCCCAGCCGCAGGGCACCCGGGTGGGCAAGCCTGCGAGAAAGCCCCCTCCCCAACCCCCTCCCCGACATCTCTGCGTACGCGGCAGCCACGTCGCTTCTGACCTTTCCGACGCGCGCTCGAGGGCCAGCCCGGAGCAGCCCAGAAACCGGGGGGGCGGGAGCGCTGCGCGCCTCCCCCTCGCCCGCCCCGCAGGCTCCCTCCCTGCCTCCCTCCCTCCGGCTGCCTGTGCGCGGCCGCCCTGCGAGCTCTCGCGGCTGCCGTTGCGCCGGAGCTGCGCCTCCGCCCCGGAGCGATGATGGCCACGCGTGGAGCAGGCGCCGCCCGGGCGCGGGACTGAGGCGCCCCTGCCCCGGGCGCGGGTCCGAGCGGGAGAAGAGAAGAGAAGAGAAGAGAAGAGAAGAGAAGAGAAGAGAAGAGAAGAGAAGAGGAGGGAGGGACCGGACGGCTTCTTCGTGCGCCTCCCGGCGCGGCTCGGAGCGCGCAGCCGCCCGGCGCGTCCCCCTTCGTGTGGCCGGGTGAGCGCCCGGGGCGGGCAGGCGGGCGGAGAGGCGGCGGCCCCGGCGAGATTCTCCCCGGCCCTCGGGCGCCCCGGGACTGGCCGCTGCCCCGAGCGCCTCCCGCGGGTCGGGGCCCCCGCTCCCCGAATAGGCGACCTCCCCCGCTCCCCCTCGGGTACACGATTTTAAATGAATCTCGCGAGCTGCCCCGGATACTTGGGAAACTCCGGATCAAGGACGGGCTGAGACTCGCGCGTCGCACGCTCGTCTTGCGCTACGGGCTGCGGCAGCCCGAAAGTTTCCCCCAACTCGCGTCTTTACGAAAGGCGAGGAAGGGCTCGTCCCCCGGACCGGGCTGCGCTGGCCGGGCGCCCCGGGCTCCGTCGCCCGCGCTTTGCTGCCGCCCGGCCGCCTCCAGGACGCCCCATCCGGCAGGGCTCCTTCGCGGCTCGTCCTACAATCCCCAGCAGTCTCCAGCGAGCCGTGCAGGCTGGGCATGCTGGGAGATGCAGGACTCCCCCCCCCCCCAGGTTGGCTGGGAATACTGCAAGTTGGAGGACTTTTTATGTCGATGATGATAGCCCCACTTTCCGCCGAGGCGCCCCAGCCTGGAGCGGCCGGCCCAGCGCTGGTCCCCATCCGCTGGTCGGTCGCGGGCGACCTTGTCTACGGCACGAATCGCAGAGCCGTTCTGTGCACGTTCGAGGGAACTGGTCCCAGAACAGATCACCAGGGGCCGTGCCTTCCCGCATCCCTTTCTTGTGTCGCCCACACATTTCTTCCTGTTCTCAGCGTCTGTCTTTGACCAGGAGACTCTTGTCCCGTGACTGATGACACTGGCTCAGCAGGTCCCTGGCAAGTGCCTTGGTCAAAGAGCCCTGAAAGTCCTGCCTGCCGGATCGCTTTATCCACATGCTAGTTAGTACTCTCAAAGAACTTGGGAAGGTTTGTGAGACGGGGGTTCTTTTTTTTCCAGATGCTGTGCTGTTTCTGTATCTTCAAGACGATTCCTTCTGTAGGTCTGTAATTTTATCTCTAAAATGCTTTCTGACAATTTGCTGCAGCAGACTTTCCTATGAACTGGACTATCCAGTGCCTGCAGGGTTGTTGTGGCTCTGCCTCTCCGCCCCTTTTTTGCCTGGTTTGCTTTTTCTAGAACAGGTGGGACCTGGCTGGGGGCTGGAGAGATCATAGGCTTGTTCTGACCTGCCCTCTCCTCTCCTCCCCTCCCCTCCCTTTCCCTCCCTCCAATGCCGTATTTGCAATCCCAGCAAGCAGCCGGTGGGGTTCCTTCCATGGGGGCTGCAAAGGGGCTGTGATCGGGGGCAGGATATCAGAAACTCAAGGTCCTCCTCACTCTCTGGCCTTGGAAGGGGAATTCTGCCCTGCCCTGCAATGCTTACCATACGTAGGACAGACAATAGCCCTGTAGGGTCTCTCTCCTAGGTAACTTGGTCACGTGTTGTGCATGGATTATTCCCCTTCCTTTCATGGGTCTGCGAAAAACCTTCGGAAATGGCTTTATGGGAGGTCAACCTGGGTCGCCTGTACTGCTGCTCCAGCTGAATTTGGGGTTTAGCCCCCGATCCCCCATTCTGATGATGAAGAGTTCACCTGTGGTTCAGCTTTTATTAAAAAAGGCTACTCTTGAAACAAAAAAGAATAGTTCAATTCCCTTCCTCACTGAAGCCGTGCTAGCTGAATTTTTTCAGAGATTTCCTGTGATTCTTTGGCCCTTTAAACATCTGCCTCCTGTTTTTCTTTGGGCACTGAGTTCTGTCCTATTCCCAGAATGAGGATGAAAACATTATGCCGTTATCTCTTGGGTCTGACTAATGGCAGAGCGGAAACACCCACTTCCTGGCCGCTCTTCCCCAGAAGGCCCTGCCAGGCTCTTTCTGGAACCTTAAGGCCAGCCGCTGCAAGTGCAGCAGGGCATGCAGACCGAAGCGGCTTGGCCAGGTGCGCGTCCCAGTGACCCCTCTGTGCCTCCCTCCGAGTGACTGATTTATTCAGAGCGTTCCCCCCGTGCTCTTCGGCCAAAAGGGAAGTGCCATGCACCGAGAGCGAGTCGGGCTGTCCCTGCTTGCAAGCTTCTCCTCTGAAAAACACAATACAAAAGGAAAAAGGGTGAGGAGGGGAGAGGAAAGCAAGTGAACCCAAGACCCTCGTTCTGAAAGACACAGCGCTCTTCTAAGGAAGGGAGGGAATGAGGACAGCCCAGAGTGGGAGGGAGCCGGTGGAGCCGAGCCGGTCGCTGAGGGAGGGGGCCCTTCTCATCCTATTGAGTCTTGCGGGGAGGGGCATCCCTGGAGGCGCAACCCGTGACCTGCAGGCAGAGACTTGGCCTCCCTAGGGCCCCGTCGTAATGGGATCAGCTGTCGCGAGCGCCGTATCCTTGAGGGCTCCCACTGATGGTGCCACCAGAGCGTGCAGCCCCAGCTCCCGTCAGAGCCCATTTCAGCCCTCTCCAGCCTTGAGACGACCCCTTCTTGGAGCAAGTAAATGGCTGCATGCTGCAGCAGTTGCTCCGGGGCGGGGGCACTGTGTTTCTTTAATGTTCTGGAACGTTAGGCCCCCCGAGCGCAGCGCCGCTGGGAAGACTGGATGTGGTGCTGGCCGGCCGGCCGGCCAGAGGAGGCGTGTTAGAGGACGGCAGCTGCTCAGCCCAGGCAAGTGAGCTGGCGTGTCCTGGACCCTCTGCTCTCATCGCAGCATGGGAAGCTGCCTCCGCGGGGACCCCTCTGGGCTTGCCCTGCTGAACCTCAGGGCTGGACACTGGGTCTGGCCTGCCTGGGGCTCTGCTCCCCTCCTCCAGGGCTCTGCACTGGGCCGTGCCGTTTCCTGGGGCCACCGATGGTAGGGCGGCTTCTTGCTTCCGGTGCACTGCGCAGCCCCCGAACGGGCTGAGCTGCCTCTCCTGTGAGGAAGCCCCCAAATAACCCAGTGCACAGATTTGGGCAGCATGCCCAGGAAGGAGCTGATCTAGGGATGCTAGGAATGGAATTATGGCATTCCCTGCCCCGGGAAGTAGCGAAGTCCACACATCTGGATGGCTTTTGGATGGACTCGTGGAAGGAGAGGCTCTCTGGCTACTGCCCGTGCTGGCCATGGGATACCTCCTTGGGCAGAGGTGGCTTGCGTGCACCAGTTACGGCTGAGCTTGAGCCAGCAGAGGTCTCGCACCCATCCTGTGGGCGGCTGGTTTGCCGCCGGGTGTACTGAGCACCGAATGAGATGGACTTTGAGTCGGATCCAGTATGGCGCTTCTGACATTCTTATGGAGGGGCTTCTGGTGGTGCAGCTGAGCAGGAGCCTTCCCAGAGGTGAACTTCAGCAGGACTAGTGACATGGTCTGGCTTCCCCTTCTTAATTCTCTCAAAGGTAGGGCATTATTTTTCTTGTTGTTCAAAAGATTTCTCAGCTATCTTTCAGGGCTTAAGCCTACATAGCATGAAAACACATGTCCAGCAATATTGATTCTTGCGAGAGTTTGCATATATTACCATAAAAAAGCGAATTTGTTGCAACTTACTTCTGAGTATAGGATTGTGCTTTAAATTGGATGGGCTGGTTGCCTTTTGTTCTGCACTGCAAAGAAAAGAGCTAATTGGAGGCATTTGGGGGTTTTGCGACATCTCTTCACTGTGAGCTACTACAAAGTCAGGTTCAAAAGATTCAAATGCTCAGTGCTTTTATAACAAACACCCATATTATCCCTGTTAATTCTGCTCTCTAAATGTAACCTATTCTCTGAGTTCAGCAGGAGGTGAATTATTTTAGTGAAATTATTGGAATTGTGCATGCAAATGTTCTGGGAAGGAGATACAAACCGAGGTCAAGTGGTAATTTATTTTGAAGTGCAATGCTTTATAACGTCGGGGAAGGTGAGCCTCCCCGGAGAAGACAGTCATGCTAGGAAAGTCGAAGGCAGAAGGAGAGAAGGAGGACCAAAGGGGGGATGGGCTGAGTCCGCCAAGGAAGCCACAGCTCTGAGCAGGGCTCTGGTGGAGAGGGGAGTTTGCAGGGCGCTCATCCACAGGGTTGCCATAAGCTGGAAACAACTTGATGGCACGTAACAGCAGCAGCAGCAGCACACCATCAAGAGACACCGGTTCGCGCAGGACCAGCTTGCAGGTCGAGCAGGTCCAGCTGGAGATGGACTTGAGTCCCCTTTACATCCGTCCAGGCCGGTGCCCATCGGACCTTCTTGTGGGAGTGAATGGCAGAGTCGAACATGCCGGCTGTGAAGAGCCGCTCGCTTTGGTCCGTCCTGAATGCCCCTGTATTCAGAGTCAGGGGATGGCCCGCCGCTCCAGCGCTGAGATAATGATCCATATGATTCCAGGCTGTTGAAAACTGGATGGCATTTAATAAGACAATAAGGAGTAAATTGCCCGCCGGGCTCTTCTGAGAATCTATCAGCCTCTGTGCACAAGGCGGCCTTTGTGCTTTGGACTGGCTGGGAGAGGGAATAAATTTGAGCCAGGCGGCGCAAATGGGGAGATTGATTTCTGTGAGTCCAGTCCTCCGGGGAAAGCCAATGCAGACGCTGTGGACTGGATAAATAGCTGAGGCATTGATTTCACCTAGAGAGTATGAGAAGGTGCCCGGGGCCGTCCGCGCCAGAGCAGGGCTGTGCAGGGCTCATGCTCTGGAAACAGTCGTTGCCCAGTGCAACCTGCAGCTTCTCTGGATCCGGCTGGAAAACAGCCTTCCGGCCGCTCTGGCATGCGGCTGTCCACCAAACTCAGCACCGCTGCGCTAGGTGGATCAAGGCTCTCCCTTCAGCATGCTTCCCATGTTTCCGTGCTGGCCGGGGATGGTGGGAGTGGAATCCCAACGCATGCAGGAGCAGGCAGTTCTGTCTTGACATTTTGCAAACCACGATGCTGCGAAGGGTTGCTCTTGGGGAAACTGTGAGGGACTTTAGGATCTGCTTCCTTGACTTCTGGGAACTGTTTGGGCATCTCGGGTGATGGGACAGCATGAAAATGGAATTAATGAAGTTAACGACTCTCTCCCCTCTCCTCTTGGATGCTGGGGAGAGACGGGCAGGAGGGCTTCAATGGAGGGATGTGGAAGTCAGGAAAACGCAAGCTCACCCAAGCTTTCCAAATTCTCTCTCAAAATGTGCACCAGCTCAACCCCCTCCCCGCCCTTTCCCCATGAAAATCCATGCATATTTCTCCCCATATTTTTCCAGAGATGGGCACCCCGTGTGTACGTTTTTGGAGTGTGCACGTGTTGTTGAATGCAGGAGTGTGTGTCGGGTCATGCACTGCACTGCAGCCTTGGAAGGGTGCAGCCTTTGACCAAACATGGTGCCATTTGCTTGCGAAACGGCACACAGGATAAAGACGTGGTCGAAGCCACGTGGAGATGAATGCCTCACGCACCTCTGCTTGCGGCATGCGCTGCCCCCACGCCCCGCCCTGTGGGAAGAGGCCTACCGGGAGGAAGCGGTTCTGCTGTTGTCGTTGTCTAGGATTTCCCCTAAGCGTGAAGGTTCCCTCTCCCAAGGACGCGGAGACCCACAGAGGACCCCAACCGCAGAGTTTCCTGTTCCGTCTGGCGCAGCTGCTCACCATGGAGGGTCGGCCGAGCGGCACGCCTCCAGTTTTCTTCTCCAGGGAGGAAATAGCATCCAAGCAAGCATGGGCTTGTTTTGCTCTCAGAATTACTCTAACAATGTAGCTTCTTCTTAAAAATGTGAGCACCTTACCGGAAGCAAAGCGCGTGTGCTTGGATGGCCTCTTATGCCCCGTGGCTGAAAGATCCACGTTCCTGTAACATCGAGGTTGAACCTTCACTTTAACTTTACACACTGTTATCCTTCATTTTATCCCATCTTGTGACAACCCTGTGAGGTAGGCCAGGCTGAGAAACCCGAGGAAGCTCCATGCCCCCCCCCCCCCAAAAGGAGGACAGAATGCTGTTGGCTGTTCCAGGGGGAAGGGAAAAAACAGGGCGAGGAGCAGGAATGCTGGAAGGTGGCAGGATTCCCGAAAGAGAGCAC